CTGTGTGCAAGCTCTGTGTGGGCGCTGCTGTGTGCAAGCTCTGTGTGGGCGCTGCTGTGTGCAAGCTCTGTGTGGGCGCTGCTGTGTACAAGCCTCTGTGTGGGTGCTGCTGTGTACAAGCCTCTGTGTGGGTGCTGCTGTGTACAAGCCTCTGTGTGGGTGCTGCTGTGTACAAGCCTCTGTGCGAGCGCTGCTGTGTACAACCCTCTGTGTGAGCGCTGCTGTGTGCAAGCTCTGTGCGAGCGCTGCTGTGTGCAAGCTCTGTGTGGGCGCTGCTGTGTGCAAGCTCTGTGTGGGTGCTGCTGTGTGCAGGCCTCTGTGTGAGTGCTGCTGTGTACAGGCCTCTGTGTGATTGCTGCTGTGTGCAAGCCTCTGTGTGAGTGCTGCTGTGTACAAGCCTCTGTGTGGCCGCTGCTGTGTGCAGGCCTCTGTGTGAGTGCTGCTGTGTACAAGCCTCTGTGTGGGCGCTGCTGTGTGCAGGCCTCTGTGTGGGCGCTGCTGTGTGCAGGCCTCTGTGTGGGTGCTGCTGTGTACAAGCCTCTGTGTGGGTGCTGCTGTGTGCAGGCCTCTGTGTGAGTGCTGCTGTGTACAAGCCTCTGTGTGGGTGCTGCTGTGTACAAGCCTCAGTGTGGGCGCTGCTATGTGCAAGCCTCTGTGTGAGTGCTGCTATGTGCAGGCCTCTGTGTGGGTGCTGCTGTGTAGAAGCCTCTGTGTGAGCGCTGCTGTGTGCAGGCCTCTGTGTGTGCAGGCCTCTGTGTGAGTGCTGCTGTGTGCAGGCCTCTGTGTGTGCGCTGCTGTGTGCAGGCCTCTGTGTGGGCGCTGCTGTGTGCAAGCCTCTGTGTGGGTGCTGCTGTGTGCAAGCCTCTGTGTGGGCGCTGCTGTGTACAGGCCTCTGTGTGAGTGCTGCTGTGTACAAGCCTCTGTGTGAGACTGCTGTGTACAGGCCTCTGTGTGGGTGCTGCTGTGTGCAGGCCTCTGTGTGGGCGCTGCTGTGTACAAGCCTCTGTGTGCCGAGTGCGGAGCCTTGAGTGCGGAGCTGCTGAGAGGAAGAGCTGCCGCAGGCAGGTTAGCGAGGTGTAAAGTAGATAGGGGAAGTTCGTCAACAAAAGTGACCGTATAGACAGAAACAGGAGTGCCTACAACTGGTGCAAGAGTAGAGTAATAAAGTGTAAGCAGGTGACCTGTAACAACGTGTCCGACTGAGTGATTTTACGAGACTACAAATGAATGAAGACACCCAGCAACGTCAGAATGACGGCCCAAACACAGGGCACCGCACCGCATCGCTGTGCAAAACAGATAAGAAGGCAATGTCTCATTTGTGGGTCTGTCTCTCCATATTGTTCGAAGATTTAACAAAAATACATCTCCCACCCCCGTCCCTTCTACCCTCTTACTTTTGTCCCTCTTTCACCCGCCTCCGTCGAGCAGTTGGCTACGTACGGTGCAAAATAAGTTAAACATGTTCCTGCTTATAGTTCCTACCTGGGTTGGGGTAGTGAGCTCAATTTTCTCCCCACCCCTAAATCCAGCAGCACAAAGTTCGGTATTTGTCCGTGGAGTTTCTGTGCCCTCTCCCCCCCTTGTTACGGTTTGTGCTTTGTAACGGGCTCTTGTTAAAAAAAACATAAAAGTGTTTGTATTGCACACAACCCATCGGCCCTACGGAATTCTGGGAGGGCGCAATTTCATTGTTAAGAGGGGCTGTGGGCATGAGCGCGATTGCCGAGTCTGTTGCAGGAGTGAGGAGGGATTGGTGAGTCTGTTGCAGGAGTGACAGGGGATTGGTGAGTCTGTTGCAGGAGTGACAGGGGATTGGTGAGTCTGTTGCAGGAGTGAGGAGGGATTGGTGAGTCTGTTGCAGGAGTGACAGGGGATTAGTGAGTCTGTTGCAGGAGTGAGGAGGGATTGGTGAGTCTGTTGCAGGAGTGACAGGGGATTGGTGAATTTGTTGCAGGAGTGAGGAGGGATTGGTGAGTCTGTTGCAGGAGTGACAGGGGATTGGTGAGTCTGTTGCAGGAGTGACAGGGGATTGGTGAGTCTGTTGCAGGAGTGAGGAGGGATTGGTGAGTCTGTTGCAGGAGTGACAGGGGATTGGTGAATTTGTTGCAGGAGTGAGGAGGGATTGGCGAGTCTGTTGCAGGAGTGACAGGGGATTGGTGAGTCTGTTGCAGGAGTGAGGAGAGATTGGTGAGTCTGTTGCAGGAGTGACCGGGGATTGGTGAATCTGTTGCAGGAGTGAGGAGGGATTGGCGAGTCTGTTGCAGGAGTGACAGGGGATTGGTGAGTCTGTTGCAGGAGTGAGGAGAGATTGGTGAGTCTGTTGCAGGAGTGACCGGGGATTGGTGAATCTGTTGCAGGAGTGACAGGGGATTGGTGAATCTGTTGCAGGAGTGACAGGGGATTGGTGAATCTGTTGCAGGAGTGAGGAGGGATTGGCGAGTCTGTTTCAGGAGTGAGGAGGGATTGGCGAGTCTGTTGCAGGAGTGACAGGGGATTGGTGAATTTGTTGCAGGAGTGAGGAGGGATTGGCGAGTCTGTTGCAGGAGTGACAGGGGATTGGTGAGTCTGTTGCAGGAGTGAGGAGAGATTGGTGAGTCTGTTGCAGGAGTGACCGGGGATTGGTGAATCTGTTGCAGGAGTGAGGAGGGATTGGCGAGTCTGTTGCAGGAGTGACAGGGGATTGGTGAGTCTGTTGCAGGAGTGAGGAGAGATTGGTGAGTCTGTTGCAGGAGTGACCGGGGATTGGTGAATCTGTTGCAGGAGTGACAGGGGATTGGTGAATCTGTTGCAGGAGTGACAGGGGATTGGTGAATCTGTTGCAGGAGTGAGGAGGGATTGGCGAGTCTGTTGCAGGAGTGAGGAGGGATTGGCGAGTCTGTTGCAGGAGTGACAGGGGATTGGTGAATCTGTTTCAGGAGTGACAGGGGACCAGTGTTTGACGAATGGGATGTGAAAATGCTGAGCGACATTTCTAGACGTGAGAGGAGAGGATGGACATTATACCTACGATTAAGCACGGTTGGATACGTACGGTACGAAATAAGCTCAACCAACATACACATAAGGAGCCAGAGGAATTGGAAAACGTCTACTTCGATAAAATTGCGAGCTTCATCACAATGTACGATGCCAAGTTGGGTTCCTTCAGAAGTTTCCATAACGAAATGTCGGGCAGCACGCGGTAACACGACCCGTACACCACCATCGGAGATCCAACAAAAACAGTCGGCATTCACCACGTGGCGATGACGTCAGCACTAGCGCCTGTGCCAGGCCAGGTGCACTCAGAGGCTACGTGAAATGTCCCTGACTCTCTGCTCACAATCTTCAGGACCTCCATGGTGGTAAAGCTGGGTGGACAGGCGTTGGAGCCATTCCCTGTTCACTTTGGGGTGCGACAGGGCTATTTTATCGACTCCCGCATTATTTAACATCATCTTCGACCACGTAGTTCTAGAAGATTCCCATTTCAGAGCAAAATACAAAGATCCCCCATATAGCCTTAACAGACTGTTGGGGCAAGTGCTGTTAGCGAGCGCCTATGAAGTCTAGAACGGTACACAAGGGGGTGGGTGGCCAGTATCACGACCACCCGCATGTGTCTCCCCAGTGTACACACCGCACCAGGTACTCATGAGGCCGATTCTTCCTAGGGGAGGCCGAGGACCGGTTCAGATGATCATCGTTGTCGTTGGCCGCGAGCCAAAATCGCACAACGGTCGCCGGGCTATTCAGCGCCGCGCGCTAACCAAGACATGACCGCTCGAAGAGCCGCGCAGACCTCTACAGCGCGACTACAAGAAACTCCGAGATCGTTTTGACAAATGACTTTTGAATTTTCACGGACAAACTCCAAGTTGACGGCGACAACTCTGTATCCCCCCCTCCCCGCTCCCCAAAGGCATTAAATACAGGCAGTGGCTGTGACTGGGCTGGTGCAGCGATGCAGGCAGGCTGCGACTCCAAGAGGGCAGCAGTGCATGTCGCAGGCCAACTCAACGCGGTTGAAATATCAAATGTCGCGTATATATGGTGAACTCTTTCGCACCGTACGTAGCCAACCGTGTTAATAGGAGGTGCGGGGGGGAGAACAGCAAACTAAACACCAACAGCAGTTCTAAACAAATAATGTTTCATCTTAATGATTTTAAAGTGCATCGTTCCAGTGGCTTCCTAATATTGGAAGGAAGAGCGTTCCAGACGGCCGCAGAAGCAGCGCATATGAAAGTGCGCGATGTGGTGACCGTCTTTGTTCGATGGCCAGCCAGAAGCCGCTGCTGCTGCGAAGATGATCGGAGCTCGCGTGATGTTAATGCTCCTTGACGAGATCAGTTTTGGAGGTAGGAGAAATCTGACTGCTGCCAAGCAACAGATATTCAAGATGACGATGAAACAAAACAATTTGCCTCGCCCTTTTCGAAAAGAATACAGGTGTTAAGATGTTCAAACGATTGCAAGGACAATGCATACATGATCAAAGCACTTTTTTTTTACATGTTTTACCACAAGCTCTTGTGGTTGACGCAGACGTGATGACTTGTAATAGGTGTCTATTTGCTCTTTGAACAACTTAACACCTCCTGTATTCTCGTCGGAGAGGGTAAAGCCTATTCTTTTTTCATCATCTTGATACTAGCAAGATGATATTAAACTTATCAGTTGGAATGTAAGTAATTAATAGCGGATCTCGCAAGCGAAAGCAGCGTGGAGCCTGGGAAATGACCAGGTGAGCGATCACCATCACAGGACGTGGACAGTGAGAAGTACAGATTAAAAAACAAGACGCGGAATTTAGCAACTCGAATTCCGGAGGTAACGGGGGGAGGGGGGGGATTTGTGTTGATTCTTAGCAACGGATTGAAATTTCGGCTAGCTGGATTTTGTTTTGCCAAATTAAGCAACAACAAAGCAAACCCTGAACAAATCATTATTTTAATGTCACACATTTGTGCGTTTGTGTGCAGTCATTGATTCAACGCCACGCTCCAGACACCAACCTCACCGCAGTGTGCCCCGAGGGTGTAAATGCAGAGGAGGGGGGGTTCAGAAGCAGTCCAGCGATGAGTTGCAGTGGATGGCCAGCTTCTGGCACCACGACTTCGTCAGATTTCCAAAGAGATTCTCTGTTAAGCGACGCGAAGGCCCGGTTAGCGCACGAGCAAAAAAAGAGTCCACAAATATTTCGACAACAAAAAAATACAACCAACCTCAAATTACTCAATTGGGATTACACACAGAGAGGATGTCATTGCCCCCTTATTGGCAGATTAATACTAAGTTAAACTATTTTATTTCATCAGGTAAGGCCCACTGAGCTATATCGCTCTTTTTCAGAAGCGACCTGGTCACAAATGATAACTCAACCAAGTGGCTCATCACGTGGAAATTGATAGCAGCCAAATACTCTAAACGCGTGATGTTTATTCTAACTCTGGAGGGAAACCTGGAGGAACCGGAGAAAAATCCACGCGACCACGGGGAGGGAGACAAACTCCAAATGTACAGCCGTCGGGGTTGCGATACAACCGACCACTTACAGTATGTACCAGGCGAGATAGTTAAAATGTCGCCATCGAGTCACCAGATGCTCGGTTCAAAGTTGGGTATCAGCCACTTGTGAGTGGTTAAACAGGATTGTCAAGTACAGTATAGCGAGTCAAGGTGGTGATGGTGGTAGTTGCCCGAGACCGGTCAGCAGCTCAGCGACTGAACTGCGAAAATACTCTTCAAAGTATCGTGACACCTAGAGAATAGAGTTTGACTATTCCAGCTCCGTCAAACAAATGAACGCCACGCCTCACACGGGGCGAAACCGGAGCAGCCGAGCGTGCGTTGTTATTGGATCACGGGCACCACAAACGCCAAGCGGCCAGCCACAAGCAGCATTTTTTGACCGTGTAATAAAGAGTAAAGTCTTTCTTGATTCAAGTAAGGTTATTATATGAATCGAGTAAGATGACATTGTACATACAGTACTTCCATCAGTTTATATGGGTTATTATACATGTATGCATGCATATGCGCACTTACCATAATGTTGAAAACTCATGTTTTTGTAAATCTGTACAGGAAAGCCGACTTAATTAAACCCCCCCCCCCCTTGATATTTGCGGGGCACACGTTCCTGAATACTGGCGCGAATATGAATACTCAAAGCTTGAGGAGAATGTGTTTAGGTGACAAACACACATTGCGTGTAAACGTATAATCTGTATGTATATATTAACGATTGTCGTGTTACTTAATTATCCTTTAATAATAATGAATATAAATATATTTCAAAGTGCAAATATCGACGACTAAATAAATCGATAAATATTACAATGTGCGAACTTAATTATCATACAAAAACACGCGTGGCCATGAAACCCCCTTCGAGACTCACTACCGTGGACCCGCACTGCCGCAGGGTGGTGAAATATGGTCAAACGACCCCCCACCCCATCCCAGCCTGCAATGCGTGCATGGGGAGGCCTTCATCCAGCAGTAGATTAACATGGACCTCTACCTGCTCACTTAGAGCCTTCAAACACAAACATCCCCCGTGTAGCCTTAACAGAGTGTTGGGGCAAGTGCTGTAAGCGAGTAGCTGTGAAGACCACCGGCACTGTGGCACACGAGGGGGGGTGGGGGGTGGCCAACACCACGCCCGGCCGCCTTTGTCTCCGCCAGTGGCGATGTTTACATACTACACCAGGTCCTCATTTGAGGCCGAGTCGACCTCGGGGAGGCCCAGGACCAGTTCAGCTAATCGACACTGGTGTTGGTAGCCGTGAGCATACAGTACATGCAGTACACAGGCAAAGACCCCCTCTCTCCCGTGTAGCCGACACAGACTTGTGGGACAAGTGTTGTGAGCGAGTCCCTCCTACTCACGCCGGTACAGCGCACGCAGGATGCGGTGTGGCCAGTGCCACGCCCGGCCGCCTTTGTCTCTCCCACGGGCGATGTTTACGCTTACACGGGCAACCGCGTACCTACTCCGTTGAAGACCGAGTATGATATGTCAAGATAAAGCGACCCTGCATAGGCAAAACACAGACTGTTGGAGCAAGTCCTGTGAGCGAGCACCTATCATACCTGTATGGCCCGCATACATCGGCTGTTGAGGCAAGTGCCGTTCCACACACACACACGTGGACACACGTACAGTATGCAATTATATACTGCACTTACCTTTTCCCCAAGCGATGACGCAAACAGGCCTGCGTTAATTGGAGGCTGGTGGTTAATTGGTATCAATGATGGTACAGCGGCATGGATGATGGTGATGCGAATGGATCTGCCTGGATATATTCCTTGTGTGTGTGTAAGATAGGAATGTCTCCTTCTTCTCGCATCACACTAACTCCTCCCTCCTCTTCCCTCTAACATTCATCACGTCCCAAGTACGTCAGCACTACCGTCACCGGACAGCTCCCCCTGGCACCCCTTCAAAATAAAAGTACCCCCACCTCGTTAAACGCCAATTCAAGTCACGTGAAACAAAGGCAATCTTTTCAAATTAAAGGGCCTTCGTTGCAGGACTTCCCCCGAACCGATGTAAATTCACATGCTCCGCTCTCAATCCTGCCCCCCTCCCCCACCCACAACGCTTACCGCCGTCAGCGCCACCCACGCGCACCGTCCTTTCAAATGAAAGGGCCTTCTCTCTCACGCTTTCGAATTCACCTTCAACACATTGTAATTCATTTGTGTACTCTTAATGCCAACCATTGCCACCATCACAACCGCTCCTCGTATACCGCCATTTCATATTCAAGGTATTCTCTCAAAAGGCGCTTTCAAGCCAATGTTAATTCA